GAGGCGTGGTGGTAAAAGGTGCCGGCCTCCCACGTGGCCATCGTGGTCTGAGTCCCCAACCTGGCGGCTTGCTTTCTCAGTTTCCCTTTTTCTCACTCACTAACCGTCCCTCTCTGGTTAAATTTTTAAAATAAATAAGTTTTTAAAATTTTTTAAAAGAAAGAAAGAGACGATGTGGCCATCGCACAGGCAGACCGAGCTTGACAAACACCAGTGCTTTGTTCTTGGTCAAGGCCACCAGACAAGCCAGGCCTGGAAGGGAGCCCATGGCCCCAATGAAAGAGGAATATGAGAACTGGTAAATGCAGTCCCAGAGCTGGAGCCCAGCACTCCCGCAGGAGCACCTGGGCGCCATGTCCAGGGCATTACTGGTCTCTGCCAGGGCCCCACCCGCTGAGGTGTAAGCAGCCCCACACGGTGGGACCTTCTCAGCCACAGAAGAGCAAGGCTCACACGTTGCAGCAGAGATGAGCCTCGAGGACATGGTGCTGACATACAGGAGCCCGTCACAGAGGGACAAATACCACGTGGTTCTATTTATATGAAGTAGGTAGGGCGCTGCTAGGGTTAAGGCAATGGATTCCCATATGGTCAGCCATGGTTCAGGTCCCAGACTTGGCAGCTTGTTTTCTCTCTCTCTGTCTCTTTCTGTCTCTGGTACTGCCAGCCCTAAACCATTTTTTTAAATGTAGAGCCGGCAAATGTATAGAGAAAAGTAGCCTTGGAGAAGTAGGAGTAGGGAATCACTGCTTAGTGAGCACAGTTACAGTTTGGAAAGGTGAAAGCATTTGGTCATGGGTAATGTGATGGTGACACACATGAATATAAGTGATGCCACTGACTTGTACGTAAAAATAGTCAAATGGGGCCAGCCGGTGGCACGGTGGTCATGGAGGCTGGTCTCACGTGGCCTACTGCACAGTTGGAGTCCCAGGCCTGGTGTTGGAAGACATGCCAGGTGTATGTGCACGCCCACCAAAGTCCCAAGAAATGAATGGAGGAGAAGGGACTGTGCGTAGCCATCCCCGGGGGGGGGGTTCTCATGTTCACGCTCTCTCTCTCTCTCTCTCTCTCTGTCTTTCTGGAGAGTGCACACACCCTCTAGCAAATTAAAAAGGAAAAGGAGACACCACTTTCCAGATTAGAAAGGAGGTGTACAGTCGTTTTTGTCCACAGACAATGTGACATCCTTTATGTAGAGTACCCTATAGTAGAAGCTACAAGATTCTACTAGAACTAATGAGTAAACACAGCAAGTTTGGAACGAGAGACCAGCATAGACAATTATCTTTTTTTCTTCCCCCTAAGTTTGCCAGATGGCACATACACTCACTAGAGAGAGACATAAGGGGAAAAATGGGAAAGCACTGCTGGGGTGAGGGAGGTGGCCACATCATAATCCCTTCTGCATTCTCCTCTCTGGATTTTGGGCACAACCGCACATGTGCCTTGTGTGTTTGAAGCTGCCAGGTCCAGGACTTGAACCTCACAGTTGGCCAAGAGGATTTAGCTGCCTTTACCATCTGGTGCTGGCTATCCCAAAATTAATCTTGTTTCTCTATACTGGCAATAAACCATCGAAAGTTTGTGTACTTTTTAAATACCATTTAAAAAAGAAAAAATAATTATTTATTTAAATGTGGCAGGGGGTGGAGGGGGTGAGAAAGCAAGCTGCCAGGTCTGGGACTCAAACTGTGGTCAGCAGTGTGGGAGTCCAGTGCCCTTAACCACCATGCCATCTTATAGGCCCTTAAATACATTTTTTTTTTTAGAATTATTTTATTGGGGTCAGCAGGTGGTGTGGGAAAAGGCGCTGGACTCCCACATGACTGTCCACAGTTTGAGTCCTAGACTTGGTGACTTGCTTTCTCACTTTCCTTCTCTCTCTCTCTCTCTCTCTCTCTCTGGTCAGCTTCAAAAGAATAAAATAGAATGACAATAACTAAAATTTAAATAATTATTTTAAAAATGTACATAGTGATAAGTCTGACAAAAGATTGAAAGCTGGGACCAGAGTTAGCATAATGGCTATGTCACTGGACTCCCATGTAGTCGACCACGGTTTGAGTCCCGGACCTGGTGGCTTAAACTCAGGCCGGGCAGGTGTGTGCATGCGTGCCCAAGATCCCGACAGGAGAATGGAAGAGAAGGGACTGCGGCGTGGCCCTCCCCCCCGGGGGGTGATTTCTCGCTTTCTGTCTCTCTGTCTCTCTCTATCTGGTGAGTGCACGTGCCCTATAGCAAAAAACCTCTTTAAAAAAAAAAAAAAAGATTGAAAGCTATGTTTTCAAACAATGTTGAAAACTACAAAATATCTCTGGAAGTCAAGAGCACCTAAATAGAAAGGCGTGGCACGTTTTTGTATCAGAAGACGTGGTGTTGATGTCAGCTATGTCCAAATGGATCGATAGATTCCATCCTAGTAAAAAAAATTTGTTTTTTTATTTTAGAAATTGACAGGCAGATGATAAAATTTATAGAAAATGCAAAGGATGTAAAATAGGCAGGCAAACACCCTCTGAAAAAGAACAAAGTTCTTTCTGAACAAAGCAAAGTTGGAGGACTTACAGCACCTCACTCATCCCAAAGTTATAGTAACCCTTAGCTTGCATCACTGCCGTGAGCGAGGTGGGAGATCGTGAGGGGAACGGATCAGAACGGGCCACATCCATATGCGCCAGTTTCCACAAAGGGAGAGGCAGTCCATGGAGATGGTGCCGGGACAACTAAGTAAGTATCCAAATGCAAAAGAAAAATGAGGAATTTCAGCCCATACTTTGCACTGTATGCCAGAATGAACCCTAAATGAGTCATAAAATATAGAACCTGAAAGTATAACATTTCTAAAACAAAACTAATTGTTTTCCTGAGGTAGGCAGATTTTTATATGTAATCTCAAAAGCACTATGTATAAAAGAAAATTTCTGATAAACTGGACTTCGACGAAGTTAAGTCTCCTACAAAAGACATTGTTAAGGAAATGAAAAACAAGCCAGGTACAGACGGGCAGAGGAGGACCCATGTGGCGACGACCTGAGGTCGAACCCGCTCAGTATGGACGCAGATAGTCGTGCGGGCCTCCTTGAGACCTACGGCCGGCTTGCGTGCTCGCCCTGGGAGCTTGACGTCCCTTTGCTGTGCACCCCTAACGCCCAGATTTTGATTCCTAAACACCATTTTTCTTTAAAAGGACTCAGGAGTCCTGGTGGGCAGGGACACAAACGCATCAGAATGAGGAGGTGGCGGGGATGGGGTGGGCCAGCGGCGCCCCCAAGTGGCCAGTGAGGAGGTGCGGAGATGGGGTGGGCCAGCGGCTCCCCCAGTGGCCAGTGTGGAAGCAATTTGAACAGCAAAACAGTCCCAGTGGATCATGACCTAAGTCCACTCCTAAATGAGTGAGCGATTAGACGCCGGAGGCGTGTGCAGGTCACACATGTGGTGCTGCAACCTCTGGAGGTGACCAAGCTCCTCACCCAGCCCCTGTGGGCTTCAGCAAGCAACTTCCTCCGGAGGGCTCAGGGTGGAGCTGAGAGGCCCCTGTGTCCTCAGTTGGTGCCTACAGAGCGGGAGCCACGCCTTTGCCCTGTCTGTTGAGTGGACAGGGCAGACGGTTTTCTCTGCAGCTCGGGAGCTCAGGCTTGTGGCTGCCCCAGCCTCACTGT